TAATCTGTAAAAGCACCTTATAATTGGACATATAAATTTAGTGTCCATGTTTTCATCTATATTTTTAATTTAAATAATGGCCAAATAATAGCCTAGTGTGCTATATAGAAGTTTCACCGCAGTTCAAGTAGAAAAAAGTAGTGGGATCACTCCCGTCAGAATGGCTATAATTAACAACACAGGAAATAACAAGTGTTGGAGAGGATGTGGACAAAAGGGAACTCTCATACACTGCTGGTGGGAGTGCAAACTGGCGGAGCCACTATGGAAAGCAGTATGGAGAGTCCTCAAAAAGTTAAGAATAGCACTGCCATATGATCCAGCTATTCCACTGCTGGGTATTTATGCAGAGAACGTGAAAACACAAATGCATAAAGATACCTGCACCCCTATGTTCATCCAGCATTATTCACAATAGCCAAGACTTGGAAGCAACCTAGGTGCCCATCAAGGGACAAAGGGATAAAGAAGATGTGGTATATATACACAAGGGAATACTAAGCCATAAAAAGCGATGAAATCTGGCCATTTGTGACAACATGGATGGACCTTGATGGTATTATGCTAAGTTAAATAAGTCAGAGGGAGAAGGTCAAATACCATATGATCTCACTCATAAATAGAAGATAAAAACAACAATAAACAAAAACGTAGAGACAGAGATTGGACTGGTGGATACCAGAGAGGAAGGGGGGAGGGAGGAGGGTGAAAGGGGTGATTAGGCACATGTGTGGTGATGGATTATAATTAGCCTTCGGGTGGTAAACATGATGTAATCTACAGAGAAATCGAAATATAATGATGTACACCTGAAATTTATATAATGTTATAAACCAATGTTATTTCAAGTTAAAAAAAAACATAGTAGGAGAATATATTCATCCAACCAACTTTTTGAAAAAAATTGTGGCGAAATATACATAAAAGTTATCATTTTACCCATTTTTAAGTGTACAGTTCTATGGCACTGAGTACATTCCCATTGTTGTGCAACCATCACCACCATGTACCTCTAGAACTTTTTCATCATCCCAAACTGAAACTCTGTACCCAGTAAACAGTGACTCCCCAGCCCCTGGCACCACCCTTCTACTTTCCGTGTCTATGATTTTGACTACTCTATTCTACTATTCCACTACTTCAAATAAGTGGAATCATACAATATTTGTCCTTTTGTGACTGGCTTATTTCACTTAGAATAGTGTCTCCAAGGCTCATCCATGTTGTAGTATGTGTCAGAATTTTCTTCCTTTTTAATGCTGAATACTATTCCACTGTATGTATATGCCACATTTTGTTTATCCAACTCATCTGTCCTTGGACACCTGAGTTGCTTTTATCTTTTGGCCGTATATAAATATATATAGTGAATAATGCTGCTATGAACATGGGTGTACAAATATCTGTTTGAGTCTCTGCTTTCACTTCTTTTGGGTATAAATCCAGACAAGAAATTGCTGGATCATTTGGTAATTCTAAGTTTAATTTTTTGAGGAGTCACCATACTGTTTTCCACAGGGTCTGCACCGTTTTACATTCGTACCAGCAATGTACAACAGTTCTAATTTCTTCACAACTTCACCAACACTTGTTATTTTCTGTTTTTTTTAATAATAGCCGTCCTAAAGGGGATGAAGTGGTACTTCACTGTGCTTTTGATTTGCATTCCCTAATGATTAGTGATACTGATCATCTTTTGTTTATTGGCCACTGTATATCTTCTTTGGGGAATCAACTAACTTTTTTTTTTTTTTTTTTAAAGATTTTTTATTTTTTCCTTTTTCTCCCCAAAGCCCCCCGGTACATAGTTGTGTATTCTTCGTTGTGGGTTCTTCTAGTTGTGGCATGTGGGACGCTGCCTCAGCGTGGCTTGATGAGCAGTGCCATGTCCGCGCCCAGGATTCGAACCAACGAAACACTGGGCCGCCTGCAGCGGAGCGCGCGAACTTAACCACTCGGCCACGGGGCCAGCCCGGAATCAACTAACTTTTAATGGACACCTACTGATCCCAGGCTCTGTGCTAACATTCAGAGATTAAATAGTGAACAAAATCAGATAGTTACTACCCCCAAGGAATTTAGCATATTAATATTCACATTGTGAGTATTGTATTTTGTGAATGCCATCTTTATATGACAGTAAATGTGATAATAAACATGCAAAGAAAAATTTTTGTTACTGAGTCCACAATAATTTGATAGGAATCCATTTAATACAGATTTTAATGACACAATGCTAACCATATCTTCAAGTTAATAACTTAAGAGGTGCATGACATGGTGCTTAAGAACCTGATCTTTGAGCCACACTGCCTGGGTTTGAATCCCTGAATTGCCTCTTACTTGTGTGAAATCTTAGGCAAGTTAGCATACCTCTCTGTGCCTCAGTTTTCATACCTATAAAGTGGAGACAGATTGTGAGGATTAAATAAGTTAATACACGTAAATCACATGTGCCAAGCATATGGCAAGTGCTTAATACATGTAAGCAATTTTTTTTTATTAGGACAGCTCTACCCAGTTATCAAGTGATACTCCCATGAAAACTGGCATTTTGAGCAGTGCTTGTTGGCAGAGTTTTAGAAAAGTTCAAGGTCTAGTTATTTTGAAACAGCAAATATAGTTACTGATACCATTTGGTACAACCTATTTATATTAATAGGCATTCTCCACATTAGAGTTACTGAAGTCAAAATAGAAAATATAGAGCCAGATCTGTAGCAAAGTCTGTATTAAACTGAATTGTTGGCAATTTAGTTTCAGCAAAACAATATTATACATTAATCAGATCAGTGGTCTCAATCAGGGGCAATTCTGCACCCAAGGGACATTCAGTCATGTCCGGAGATATTTTTGGTTGCCACAACTCAGGGGGTACTACTGACATCTAGTGAGTAGAGACCAGGGATGCTGCTGAACATCATCCTACAATACACAGGTCAGTCCCCCACAGCAAAGAATTATCTAGTCCAAAATGTTAATACTGCCAAGGGTGAGAAACCTTGCATTAGACTAATGTTAATTTGAATTTATCGATTTGGTAGTTTTGTTTAGTTCGTAAAAACATTTCATTTTATAGTTGTTTAAGAGCTATATGTTTGAGTTTATACTTAGTTTAATGTGTATACTTATTCAATGTTACAATAAGATGATTTTTATCAACAGTGGGCATTCGTGACAACTTTTCCCTTTATTTGAATGTGAAAAACACTTCTTTGCAGAAAGTATGCAATATTTGCCGGTTTTGGTGGTGCTCTTTTCTTCCACAAATATCTGAACACATACTATGTGGAAGAACTGTGCTGGTGCTCTGGGTACACCAGTGAAGAAGACCACTGTGGTCTCTGCCCCTGTGAGTAATCTATGAGAGAAAAAGACTATAAACAAATAAAAACAATAAATAATATGAATTATGCTAAGTCCTATAAGGGAAATGAACAAGTTGCTGTGATAGAGAATAATGGCATATGGGGAGGATACTTAAAGAGGTGGTCAGAGAAAGTTTTTCTGAGGAGGTGTCTTTAAAGCTGAGCTCTTAAGGAGGAAAATATCTTTTTTTTATAAGACTTTTTTTATAAGAAAGGAAGGAAGGCAGCTATCTTTCCTATATTCTGCTATCTCCTTTTACTTCAGACAGTCAAGCACCCACAAATACTTCCTGAATATTTTCCTCCTATATGAGTGGCATTGTCCTAGTTTTACGGGGGAAAATAAATAATAACAAGAGGAATCTGTTTGATTTGTAGGTTTTATAGATTAAGAATGTAATTTTTCTGCTTTTCCACAGCCTACACTGCCAATTCTGATAAGAACAGGCATGACTTTGTGATCAGACAGAGCTAGATTCAAAGCTTGCCATTACTAAGACTAACCACCTTAAAGTTCTCTGAGCTTCAGCTTGCTCATTTTTTAACTGGGGCTAACAATATCTAAGTTACTAAATTATGGAGAGGATTAGCTAACATTGCTGGCAGCAGAAGTAGAAAAGAGTAGTTCAGATATCGGAACTGGACAGACCCGAGTTCAAGATCAAGCTCGCTAAGTATTAGCTACATGATACCGGGAGTTCATCTGTGAAATGGAGATAGGTGGTTGCGAAGATTAAATGAGATAATACATATGGCACACAGCCCTTCCTCCTCATACACTCCTAGTTACACGAAGGGCCCTTTCCAAACTCTCCTAGTGCAGAATTTTCCTGGGAAAGGAGTAATGAGGGAAACATTCTCATTCATTTGTTCATTCAACGAAATTGGCTGAACCCTTACTGTGTTTAATTAAGCGCTATGTATTTGGACTAGCTTTCAAAACTCAGTTTAAAACAGAGTGCAAACGTGAAACGCGAGCAAGTGCCTCCCTCACTTTTACGTCCAGTTCCCCAACAACTCCCGCTCAGAAACCCCCAGCTCAGGCCGGGCCCGGGCTCCCTCCTTCCGCCCGAAGGCCGGCCACTCAGGGTCTGCGCTCAGTTCCCCAGCCCAGACCCAGCCCTCACAAGGCTTCCCGCCACGCCCGTAGGCCCCTCGGGCACTGCCCCCAGTCACGTGCCCAGGGGCACGCCCCCCCCCCCAACGCCTCAGTCCCTGAAGGCCCCGCCCCCGGGCCCCTTAGACTCCTCCCCACGCACTGGCTCAGGCCCACCCATTCAGTGCTAGCTAGTTCCCGCGCTCTGAGCCGGACAGTACCTGGAGGCCATTCCGCTTGTTCCAGGTGAAGATGGACCCTGGGTACCCGCTCAGAGCCAAGAGCAGTTCGTGGATCATTCCCACGGCGGACCTCGAGTCCCTATATCCGCCACCTCCTCCTCCAGCGCCCCTCCAGGAGACCTCGGAGGCGAGTGCCCCTTCTCCACAGGCGCACGGGCTCCTAGGACGGGCAGTTCCTCCCGAATCTACCCGCCTAGACAATTGCTGTGGGACGAGCAGAGGGGAAGCGGGGAAGGGTCGGCGCGCCGGGCCCCGGAAGTGTGCCGCGCTCGGCTGGGCGCACTCGCTCGGTCCCGCCGGCGCTCCACAGGAGAGGAGACGCGGGGCCTGCCCTTGCGCATGCGCCCTCAGCGCCCGAGTCGCCCGCTCGGACTTCCGGTTTGGTAGCTGGACTGGCAGGCTGGAGAGCCCGGGCTGGGGTCGGACCCCAAGTGGGTGAGGCTGGCCCTGGGGCAGAGATGCGAGTGGGCTGAAGGCATCCCAAGAGGAAGACGCTCCCAAGGGTGAGCCGGAGGGTGCTCTCAGGACTCCCTAGCTCAGTCGGAGGCCTCTGGAGGGACTGCACGATGGCTCCGAGAGTGACCTGGCCGGAGGGAGCGAAGACAAAGAGGCCGGAACCCCGCACCCGCCGTTCCTTGAGCTGAGCTGCGCGCTCGCGAACCGCAGCACTCGGAGCTCTGGCCAGCACCCGAGCTCGTCCTCAGGAGACCCATTCCTACTGCCCCCTCGGACTTCCTCTCTCCAGCAACTAAGTGTGACTCCCCCCAAGCCCTCCTGGCCCTCGCTTCAGGAGCCAAACCAACTTCTCCCCGTGCGCGAGGTCTCCCGTCAGTAGTTCCCGAATATTTGCCGAGGGTTCCTTCTGCTGTGAGGGAAAGCAAAGCCCCGTGATCAGTACTTGATTTTGGTCTGGGGTGGGAATTGGTCGTTGTGGAGTGTGAGGGGACGGGGCGCCTAGGGGCCTCGGGAAGGACTGCAGAGGTGCTGGGGGAGATCAGCCGCGACCCGCTGGACAGAGGCTTTTTATTGTCTTCAGCCCGGTGGTGACTTGCCTGTAGATCCTCTCGAGCTCCAGGTCTCCCATATGGTTCACTGTGCGGCGCTGGTCACGGGAGCTAAATGGGATCAGATTCGGGGGAGGTGGAAGAGGAGCAGGCAGTACTTTCTATGCTCTGCTGCTTCCCCGGGCCGCCCTGGAAGTCGCCCAGAAACGCAGTTTTTGAAAGGTCTCTCTCCTTCACGCTCAGTTTTGTCTTGCTGTCCTGAAGTTGCTGCCACCTCAGATGGCCACGTAGAGCATATGGGAAGTCAGGCCAGCTCTAGCAAGACTTTAGACATACGAGTATGTTCCTTCTGATAGTGCCATCTCTCTCTACCCTAGGAAGAAACTCTTCTTACAGAGAGAGATTCATCTGCAGGTGATTCTCCAAGAACTTGGGAAGATAGGTGCAAACGCTGCAACCCAGACCCTTAAGCGGAGGGAAGCTGCTTTCTCGTGCGAATGATGGCCAAACCCACTCTGAGAGGGAATGGCGCTAACTCTGAGACCTGCCGGCAGCGCTTCAGGAGATTTCATTACCAGGAGGTAGCTGGGCCCCGGGAGGCTTTCAGCCAGCTCTGGGAACTCTGCTGTCGGTGGCTAAGGCCGGAGGTGCGCACCAAGGAGCAGATTGTAGAATTGTTGGTGCTAGAGCAGTTCCTGACCGTCTTACCTGGGGAGATCCAGAGTTGGGTACAGGAGCAATGTCCAGAAAGTGGAGAGGAGGCAGTGGCTCTGGTGGAAGATTTAGGAAGAGAGCCTGGAAGACCTGGACGTTCGGTGAGAAGGGAGGGGGAATTCAGAAGTGTGTGACTGGGAAGGGGCAAGGATAAAGGGCCTTAAAAATTAAGGTGTAGACAGGTTTAAAGAGGGGCACAATCTCCCTTGGTGATGCTTCTGGTCCTGGAACAGGTAACTTTTCAGACAGAGCTTATCTTGAGATGCTTCCTGGGTGTACCTTTGCTACCCTGTCATAGAGTTCTACATACTTTCATAGTTTTTTACATAATAGGAAAGAAAGGTGAATTTTTTTAGCCTGTAGTTGGGTTTACTATTTTGACCTTTTCCTTCTGGAGTTCTAGCTGCTCTAAGCTAACAGTAATGGAATAAGAAAGACCCTTGTTCACTAATAACCACCCCCACCCCTCAACCCCAGCCATGTTCCAAAAGGATGATCTCTTTTGGGATATTAAATAATCTCCTCTGGGAATGCCCTTCATTATGACCTTGCAGTGACAATTAATGGGGGTTGTTTCTAGGTCACAGTCTCTGTGAAGGGGCAGAAAGTGCGCTTGGAGAAGATGACACCCCTGAAATCATCACGAGAATTATTAATTGTTCGGCAGGAGTCAGTGGAACCCCAGCCCAGGGGTGTACCCAAGAAAGAGAGGGCAAGAAGCCCAGACCTGGGACCACAGGAGCAGATGAATCCAAAGGAGAAGCTCAGACCTTTTCAAAGGAGCGGTGAGGAGTAGATTCGTATGGGAAGACAGGATGCCATGCTAAGTTGGGAAGTAGGGTTGGGAATAGGAGTGGGAAAGGGATTGCAGGAACGAGCGGAAATTGCAGAGTCTGCAGTTGTTGGGGGCCTCCTGAAGGCATGTAGTTTAGTCCTCTGCTGGAGTAAGAAGTCTATTTCCTCTTGATAAGTCTGCAAGAGGATGGCTCCCTAGTTTTTATCAGAACTGGGAACTTTTTTACTTCCTCTTGGTAATGATGATACTAGGTCAGTATTTTATAGATAAAAATTCTATACTTGAAGGCACATCTTCCTTTCAGTCATTTTCCTTCTCCAAATTAAACTCTATTTGGTTCTTTAAGCTTTTCCCCAGAAGCTCCATTCTTCAGACCTACTAAATTTTTGTTACTCTTCCTTGGAATCTTTCAGTTCTCCAAATATATTAATTGTGGAGAACTAAATTATGTATACTATTCCAGCGAGGGTCTGATAGGTAGAGGCAGAGTAAGAATTTTACTTTGGAACTTCACTACATTTTCTTTCAGTATAGCTCAACAAATTATTTAAGGACTATTTTTCACTTGGTAACTCCCAGGACTCTCATAGCCTTCCCCATTGTCTTTGTGCCTAGTGCTTATTCTTGTACTTGATTTTGCAGAACTTGTTTTTCTTCTTTCTACTATGTTGAACTCCATTTTGTATGTTTTTTTCTTTGATCATTTCTTTAACTTGTTGAGGTTGTTTTGAATTCTGATCTTATCATCCAAGCCTTCTCAGCGAGTTTGGTTATGGTCTCTGTTGAGTGATCCAGATGCAATCTCTCAACCCCATACACAGACTTGCAGAATTAATCAGTTTCTCAACACCTACCATGTGCTTAACACTTTACAGGGTACTCTGCAATAAGAAAGGGTACCTGTTCTCAAAGAGCTTACAATATGATTGAGAACATAACAGCAAACATAAATAGGTGCCAAACTGAACTGTACCAAAACAATGCAAAACCATGATTTGTTACTCAACTGTGAGAGCACAGTAGGGGTTTGGCAGAGTGGGAGATGAGGGAGGGCTGCAGGGAGGGCTTCACGGGGGCATTAGCAGATACAGCTTCTTGAAGGAGTAAGTGTGGATAAGAGAAAGGGAGTTAAAGGAAAGGCACAGAGCAGTGCATAAATGTGTGCTGTGTTCTGGAGAGGAGAGTCTGATCTGAATGGACAGTGTGTGGTAGGCACTCCAGTTAAGGTTCAGCGGTATAGCTTGTGAGCTGAGGAAGCAAGAGCCTGGAGTTAGGTGGGACAGTGATCGAGGCAGGTATGAGGATAAGAAGTCTAGATTGGATGGTGGCAGTAGGAATATAGAAGGACATACTAAGGGAAAAAACCTTTGGAACTTGGTGACTAAGTGTGAAGGAAACAGATGAGTTCAAGACAGTCTCCCCTCTGCTCCCCTTTCCCCTGGAATCACTCTCCATTTAATTCTCTAGCCCCAAGTGGAGAACTATGGAGACAGGAGATGACTGTTCCCAGCAGTACCAGGATCTTCCAAGAAATGGTCAGGAGGGCTAGGGCTAGGGAGCAGTTTGGAAGAGAAGTATCTGCTCTGAACACACAACAGAACCTTTTCCTCTCGTCACCTTGCTCTGGAAAATAAAATATTTCTCATTTTCTGAAGTTTCATGTATTTTCCCCACTTTCTTCAACTCACTGAACTTTCTGAAAACATTTCCTTAGACACTTTCTTATAAGCCTCTTGGATAAAAAAGGCAGGTCTGAACTCAGAGATGTTTTTTATGATCCGTCCAAACTATGATATCCTTTGTTTGCTTCTCTGCAAGCAGGATTTCCATTTCCTAAATCCGGTGTGGTCTCCAGGTTGGAGCAAGGAGAGCCATGGATCCCAGATTTGGGTTCCAAGGAGAAGGAACTCCCAAGAGGCAGTCACACAGGAGACAGAAGAACACATGCTGATCTGTTACCATCCAGAAGAGAGAGAAGCAGCTGGGTGGAGCAGGATCACTGGGGCTTTGAGGATGAGAAGGTGGCAGGTGTGCACTGGGGCTATGAAGAGACCAGAACTCTCCTAGCAATCCTCAGTCAGACTGAGTTTTATGAGGCTCTCCGAAACTGTCACCGAAACAGCCAAGTGTATGGGGCTGTGGCTGAGCGGCTCCGGAAGTATGGCTTCCTCCGGACCCTGGAACAGTGTCGGACCAAGTTCAAAGGTCTCCAGAAGAGCTATCGGAAAGTCAAGAGTGGCCACCCACCTGAAACCTGCCCCTTCTTTGAAGAGATGGAAGCCCTGATGAGCGCCCAGGTCATCACCCTGCCCAGTAATGGCCTGGAAGAGGCAGCCTCTCACTCTGGCCTGGTGGGCAGTGATGCTGAGACTGAGGAGCCAGGGCAAGGGGGCTGGCAGCATGAGGGAGCAGAAGAGGCCGTGGCTGAAGAGTCTGACAGTGATGAAATGGCCCAGGAGGCCACCCCCCAGGACCCCAACAACTCAACTGCACCTGTCCTTTTCCGAAGGCCAAGTGGTAAGAAGCTTCTCTTTTTGGGGTTTTGGGATTAGATTTGAGGAGTTATGAGACTTGATGTGAAGTCAGGAAGCTTAAAGTCACCTGCCAGTGTTGTCACTTTAGTAGAGAACAAAGAGGCACTTCTCAGTTCTATGTGTATTTCATTCTCTTTTGTGGGAAAATCAGTGAAATAATAGTAAGTAGAAAGTAATTTTAGATATTTTAAAGAAATACTCTCAGAAAATTCAAGAGAGTCCTGAAAAGGATTATCATTCCTTGTATTTCTTTATTAAATTTTTTCCTGATTATAAAATCACTGAAGGCTGAGCAAAACTTGGCACTACATTATCTTTAAGAAGAACTAATATTTATTGAGCATCTTACATGAACTGGCGCTTTATCTTTTACTCTCCCAAATCTCAGTCAGTTTGTGTTCCTTTCTACTTGGAAAAGCATAGTGAAGAACTGCCCAAAGCTGGGGAAGCATTTATGTCTCCTCTCTGAGATTCACAACGCACATTGGCATTGTAACAGGACTGAGAAGTCCTGCAGCAAGAAACCTTGTCTTACACTCTGTGGTGGAGTAAGATTTGCCTGTGGAACTGTCTTTTAAGTGTCATTTATTACTGTTGATACAATTTGTACAACCATGTTGTTATGGAAAGAGCACTAAAGTATGAGTCAGGAGGCTCTGTTTCCAATCCTGACCACTAATCAGCTGGGTGACCTTGGACAGTTATCTGACCATTTCAAAGTTTGTTGTTTCAGCTGTAAAACGGGGCATGGCAGCAGGACTACATCTCTGAAGTTGCAGCTGCACTGTGAACAGTGATCTTCTTCCATTTTTTACTATATGTGTGATGTTACTTAGTTCTGTTCTAGTCGTCTTCTATTTTTTCTTCTTTTTTTTTCTTCATTCTTTTTCCTTTTTTGTCATTGGAATAAATATAGGTAAATCACAAACATGGCACATGTGCTAGCTGCTATTATTTTCATAATCTTTGTTCATTTTTTTCCACTGCTTTTCCTCTGTCTTCAATTCCCCTTCTCCTTTACTTGCAGTGAGTGGAGGCTAATGGAAGCAATGTAATCTCCAGCTGGCTCTCAAGTGGGAGGAAGACTCTTTGAATCTCCCTTCCCTCTACCTTGGGTACCTTCAGGGAGCAGTCTGTAATCCTGATGAAGTACTGCCCAAGTCGGGGGGCCTGCAGCACTAGCACATGTCCAGGCTAGGACATGCTGTCTACTCTGCTTCCTTTCTCTTTCTGGCTTCTGCCAGTCCTTCACTCCTAAGGATAAGGTGCATGACTTTCAGGTCCTTATCTTGTCCTCTTCAGAGGTTTTTGCTGTGGTTGGGCTTGCTTTTTTGAAACATGGCAAGTGAAGAAGGGCCATCATAGGGATAAGGCAGCAGTGTGATTCTGAAAGAGACTGTTCCTTGGGGTTTTGAGTCATTCTTTGGGCAACTTAGTTCATAAGGAAGTAGGGCTGTTGGAAAAAGAATGATCAGGAAGTTAGCGATGACTCCGTGCTAACATGATTGATTGTGGATCTTCTTCCCCTGACCAGTTATTTTCTAGTTAGGGTCAGAATTCCAGAAAAACTACAAAAGAATGGGGAAATGCACTCTATACACTTGCCTCAGTGTTTCAGTGATCAGATGGAAAGGCCTCTTTTTTATATGGCTAAACAGAATGCAGGAATAAAGGTCTCTGAGAAATTGCTATAGGATATAGAGAAGCAAAATTGTCTAATAAGTCTGTATAGATCTTGGGAACATGAAGTATTTGTAGTGTTTCATCTAGGAGCCCAAGCTTAGGTGATTTTTCAGGATGCAGATGATCGGATTGAGGAGTTGAGGCTTTAAAGCCCTGGATTAAGTGGTGCTAAAACTTCTCTTCTGGTGGCAGGTGTACACTGGGGCTATGAAGAGACAAAGACTTACCTTGCAATTCTTAGTGAGACTCAGTTTTACGAAGCCCTCCAGAACTGTCACCGCAACAGCCAGCTGTACGGAGCAGTGGCTGAGCGGTTATGGGAACATGGCTTCCTTAGGACGGCGGAGCAGTGTCGGACCAAGTTTAAAAGCCTACAAACCAGCTATCGAAAAGTCAAGAATGGCCAAGCACCAGAGACCTGTCCCTTCTTTGAAGAGATGGATGCTTTAGTGAGTGCCCGGGTTGCTGCCCCGCAAAGTGATGGCCAGGAAGAGGAGACAGCCTCTTGTCCTCTCCAGGAGACCAGTGAGGCCGAAGCTGAGAAGCAAGCTGAAGAGGCAGAAGAGGCCATGGAAGAAGATTCTGAGGATGATGAAGAGGATACTGAGTTACCCCCAGGGGCTGTCATGACCCGTGCTCCAGTCTTATTCCAGAGCCCCAGTGGTAAGATCCTTTTACTTCTTAAGGTCTAAATAGCAAAGGGGAGGCAGTGGGATTTAGGAGAAAAATCATCAGATTGAAGACCAGGACAACTGGCCTCTATATCCAGCTCTCACGGATTCTTGTGACCACCTCATGATTCCTGTTTATTAAGGAAGCTCAGTGAGGGGATGTAAATTAGCCACTTGACTTGCCTCCTCACACTACAGCATCAATCTGAGATGGTTGCAGACTTTGTAAATTTGCCATCAGCTACATGTGAGTTTACCTAGCAGAAAATCTGAAAGGTAACATTTCCTAACTAGCATGTGATGTACCCATAGTACAATGAAGTTGATTTTAAAAAGTTCATTCTCATTTTTGTTTTTCTTCTAGTTTCAGCTTGTAACCAGCTGTATGTCTGCTTTATTCACATATATGAAAACCTGATAACCTCTTTCTTCAGACACACTTATGCAAAAGTCTGAGATTTCTGAGGAAACTAACCCTTTGAATCTTAGCTACTGTATAAGAAAAAAATACTTCACTATGGCTTCCCTCCTTGTGGGAAGAATAATTCTAATTTTGGAGTCATACATGTATATGTATGTGAGTTTGGATTCCGTTATTAGCTGAGTGACTTAGAACAAGTTACTTAACCCTCTAAATTTGCTTCTGTATCCCAATAACGTTGATGTAATGAGGTACTGTGGTGACGCACCTAGCACAGTGCTTGGGCTCATAGTAAGTATTCAGTAAATAACAGTTTTCTTTCTAAAGTTCTTTTGATTAGCATTCTTCAAGGGTGTTCCATGGGGCATCAGTTCCATGGGGGTCTTAACATGTTCCACTAAAAAAATAGCTTCTAGGTTTAGGAAATGCTAAATACCCCTCTTAGAGGCTCATAATACATATTCACATATTTAAGGTTCTGAGATTTCTTATAATCTAATGAACCTCTGTTTCATGGGGCATCTCATAAGACTGGGTTTCTGGGTACAAATACTGCTTCACAGGGTACATATACAGGCTGACACTCAGCATTATTTTGCTCTCAGATTTAGTCCAGGGAATTTGGGATCCAGAATTTATCTGAAAATTCTGCAAATTCAAACTGAATTTGCAAACTGAAAATCTGCACGTATCTGCAAATTTTCATAGCCTAGGCCCGGGGGAGCCTGGTATTTAGTTCTTAGAAGGATATTAAAAGCTTAGCTTGGGCATTAGAGTAGTGCTTTTGGAACAGTTAGTGATTATTTTTCTATGGGCAAAGAGAATGTTTGAGAGAGACACTTCCCTAGCAAAGTGTATCTCTCAGAAGGCCTTTTGTTCTTTGAAAGACACTGAGTATTCTTTTTTTAAACTCCCAACATATATTTGAATTTGAGGGGAAGGGGACTCATGTAGCTCTTTTCGGATATAGAAGTTTCCCAGAGTTTTCCGGGGCATTCCCTTCTAATCTCCTTAGTTACCAGCAAAGAATATAAACTAGAATACCATGGTAGGCCTGAGATGAGGCAAAAATACAGCATTAGAAAGTGTCTTTCCCATTTACACAGGAACTATAAACTATGGTGATAGTTTTATCTTAAATCTGGTAGGTTTTTCTTGTTATACTGAGTGGATTTTCTGAAGATCCTATTTATCTAGGAAGAGTTAAAAGAATATATTTAATCAGCTCCTATGTGGATTAGAAGCCTGTGATAGGTGACCAAGTAGAGAAGTAAAACATTGGAATTTTAGTAGATGGTAGTGATTTGGGATCTAGAGCTCCCTAATTTTTATCTTTAATCATCTAATGTGATACTTGCTTTACTTTGGCACATAATAATTGAGGAAATGGATAACTTTTAAAATTCTATTCTTACATCAGGTTTTGAGGCTGGATTTGAGAATGAAGCAAATCTAAAACGGGATATTTCTGAGGAAGTGCAACTACATAGGACATTACTTGCAAGGTCTGAAAGGAAAATTCCCCGGCATCTTAATCAGGGTAAAGTCAGTGAGAGTGAATGCAGATCAGGAAGACAGTGGGAAAAGACTCCAGGGGAGAGAAGAGGAAAACTGACACTTCCAGAGAGGAGTTTAGGTAAAGTTCTTAGTCATCAGAGACCTTACTTGGGAGAGAGACCCCATAAATATCTCAGATATGGCAAAAGCTTCAGTCCAAACTCCCACCTCATAGATCAGATATCTCATCAGGTGGAAAGTCCATATAAATGCGCTGACTGTGGGAAAAGCTTCAGTCGGAGTGCACGCCTCATTAGACACCGGAGAATCCACACTGGAGAGAAACCTTATAAGTGTCTTGACTGTGGGAAAAGTTTCCGTGACAGTTCAAATTTCATCACCCACAGAAGAATCCACACAGGAGAGAAACCATATCAATGTGGCGAGTGTGGAAAACGCTTCAATCAGAGCTCAAGCCTTATAATTCACCAGAGAACCCACACTGGAGAAAAGCCCTATCAATGTGAAGAGTGTGGAAAAAGCTTCAATAACAGTTCTCATTTTAGTGCACATCGGAGGATACACACAGGAGAGAGACCCCATGTGTGTCCTGACTGTGGAAAGAGTTTCAGTAAGAGTTCTGACTTACGTGCACATCACAGAACCCACACAGGAGAGAAACCCTATGGGTGTCATGATTGTGGCAAGTGCTTCAGTAAAAGCTCTGCTCTTAATAAGCACCGAGAAATCCACACACGTGAAAAACTTCTGTCACAGTCAGCACCTAAGTAAGCCTCTGAGGATCTATAAAGAGCCTCCATAAATGTTCTAAAATTGTTTGAAAAAGTCTTCCAGTAGTGAGATCCATCTCCTGTTCTGTGCCCAACCAGCTTAGGAAATAGTCCAGGATTTGTCCCACTGTTTTGTCCTCTTTCTCCTGGATCTAGAGTCAAATTCCCAAGGCAGCTGTCAAGAATGACAGGAAGGTTTCAGTCCCTCTCCTTACCTGCATCTGAATTGAAAGATAACACCTTTCCCTCTCAGAGCCTATGTTGTTCCCTTATTAGAGAGGACATGGTAGTAGATCCTATGAGTTTGATATGCACCTGTCGTTACTCATCCTGTTAAGCTGCATTTCAACTGGAAAAACCCATCATAGCAGCATTTCAGGAAGAATTTGTGAGACCTCTCACTGAGTGGGTCTAACTCTTTATACAATAATGGAAATGCAATTTCCATTTCCAAAAAAATATTTCAAAAAAGTCTTCCTGCTCACTTAAGCCTGTGACCAGAATGACCTATTTGTCATACACACTCTTCATTTACCTGAAAGAAGGAGTTTCATGAACATCTTGGTTCTGACCTATGAATCATCTTGTCAAGAACTAGGTGTTCTATATGGGGAAATGATGTAAATCTCATATAAATATTGCAGCATGAACCCTGGATTTCTTAGTTTCTTCCAAGCCCTAGAAGATTTGAAATACAGTAATACTACATTTATAGCACCTAGTTTGATTTTTTCTGTTCCATCTCACCTGAATCCATCTGTCCCTTGAGGCCTAGAAGCCCAAAGAGCAAGCCCGCTGGGTGTGGTGACAGGGAAAGCAGTTAAAGCTGCCAACAGGGAATCTGTCCATATTCCATACACTCCAAACAACTAGTCTAGTGTTATGCACCCCGTGGGTGCTCAATACTAACCTGCAATGAGCAGAAGCCACTGCCACATTCCCATGGACTGGGAAAACACGACTTTGTGCCAACAACTCTTTACCCTAATGGCAAGGCCAGATTATCTTTGGTCAGTGGAGTTGCCAATACTCACACACACAAGCGTACACATATTCAACGGGAGACATCTGTTTTTGAAAGGAGCTCTTCACACACAAGTGTAATTCTGATCTTTACAATCAAATAGTATTGAATTAATTGCCCATACATTCACAGAAGTATGATGAGCCTTGTACAGCACAAGTTAAACAGACCCTGTCCTTGTCCTTACAATCTACAACAGATGACACTGACATGAACAAAATAATAAGTGCACATGTATAGTTGCAACAGTTTTAGAGAAGTCTAGAGAGTTAGGTAGTAACACTAGGCATAAATGTTAAGGTCTGCATTAGAATTTACTTTAAGAAAAACCTGGGAGGTATTTTCTTCTTATTCAGGAAGGCTTCATGAAGCACGATGTGTTCAAAGGAGGGAAGGTTACTGGGTAAATTATGGTGGAATGAACTTTCCAAAACTAATTGCAAGACTGAGTGCCAAGAGGGTGAGAATTGGGAAAACTGGGGAGCAAGGTGTTTTGTGCAGATGGAGTAGGTGGCAAAGAACAAACTGTAAGAAAGGTTAGACAAAGCTTGGAGCAACACAAAGTTTGAGAAATGGTATGATTTGGGCTGTGCAGGAGGCAGAGAGAATCACCTTAGCGGAAACATGGAGTGCCAGCGGCAGATCAGGAGGTGGTGCTCCCATCAGCTACAGTAAATCAGGTACTGTGCTGTACTGATTGATAACGGAATGGCTGGCACTGGGAAAGAAGAATGAGCAGTTTTAGGGGACTAGCTCTTACAGAAGACAAAAGTCAGAAACAGTAATATCTTGAGAATGTACTTTGATGGGCAGGACAGAGGAAAAGGAACATGAGCAGATGGCCAAGGCTTGGGATAAACAGCTGTTTCATAGTCACACTTAATTTAGAGTTTTGTGGCTAGAATGAGATCTGGGAGAGGTGTGGGGAAATAGAATATGCTATAATTCATAGCTTACTGTGTTAGATGAGAGATTAATTAGGGTTCTAGTGTTGAGGGATCCTAGTACAAAGAATCTCCTAACATTTATTAGGATTTAAGCGGAGATGTTATCTCAATTATGTTGCCTAAGCAGACAGGAAGATACAAGAACACCAGTCTAAAGCAAAGCTGCAGGATCTGAGATGGTTTAGGAAGTGTGCTACAATGTTTTTTAAAAATGAGAGATTACTGTCTTTAGTATATCTATGTGGAAAAAACACTGGTTGAGGTATCAACAAATATGAATTCTGGTTCCAGATGTCTTGTGTGTAAGTCAACTTGCCTCCATTTCCCTTTCTGTAAAGCAGAATAATGTTTACACCTTAATTTGCCTCTCAGGGATACCATGTTAATAAAAATTATGTCTACAAAGTATCCAGTGTTGCTTCAGGTGTTTTTTAAAAATATATATGCAAATTATGATTAAGCTGTTACTGGTAGGAAAAGATAAATCTTCACCTATTTTTTTTGACTCCCTGTGTGGGGTTATTACAAGTATGCTTGTCTGAAGCTTTATGTTCTAGGCTGAGAAACAAATTAGAATGTGGTAAAAGAGAAATTAGAATGAAAATCCTTCTTGGTATCTGTATCCATATCCATTAGGACCCATCATAAATGCATGGAGAATGAGTCTTATTTTAAAAGGCCCAGGACCAGCCCTCCAACCTCCAGATGAGGAGACTCTGCAAAAGGAACAAGACATAGGCAAACTCTTACCAGGGAAAACCCTGTTCATCTCAAACTAGCTCACAAACCATTATCTGCTACCCAATCTGCCATTCCTGAAGATGGAGGAGGCAAAATATACTACATAGTCATCAATCATTCTAAGAAAGAGAAACCAAGCCCACTGTTGAGGAGCAAGAGGATCTATGAACCCCTACCCATTTAATACCCACAAGACCTGTGTAGGGACAGACTGGGTGGCATGTGCAGCAAAGGAAGCAAGACTGTATTAGCAGGAGCTGGACGGTTGCATCTGTTCTCATTACTTGTTTCCCTAATGCTATTTCTTTTTCTTTATTTTACCTATGCTACCATTCTTCCTTTTATTGCTTGTTCTCTATGGCCAATGCCATAGAACTTAATAACATTTCTATTTATTCTCTGTGTTGCTGCCATTTCTCTTTTACTGTAATCTATGTGTAGAGGCTGAGCTTGTCAACTCCGTAGAGAACTATTTTTAGGGTGACCAGGTAGGAAAGGGAAAATGAGATATGAGCATAAGGATAGGTCAATTCTCTGTCCATTATTCAATTCAAAATTTAAAATGAAAACTTTACTCTTAGACACTCAAATAGCTATCCAGTGGGATCCATATCTCAAAGTTTTGACATTATTCTCTGACATCATGATGCTTAAAGTAACAGATGTTATATGGAGATATTTTAGTTGCGAGCTTAAATTCCTCCTACACCCATCATGAGGCTCTTTCAGAAACAAAACTTGGGAATGATTGGAAGCCAGATTAAAGGCTGGAAATATAAATAGAAGCCTGAAGTACCCTAGAGCTCAAGAAGTGTCTGGCTGGCACAGCTCTGTTATGGTCAAAGTAAGAGAAGGGAAGGGTAAGGTGGGAACACTTACAAACGCAAACAAACAAAAAAACCCATATTGATTCCAGGGGGATTAATCATGAGAACGGCAAAGCCAGATCTCAGCAGCTAGCTTTATCTGTCACTAGGGTCACCCAAAGTAGGTTAACCCTGACTACTGGGTATTCAAAAAGATCCATGGTATGCAGTGTAGCCTGGAGTCAACAGTTTTGGGAAATACTGAAGTGAAGGGAGTCTGATTAAAGTAAACACAACAGAGCTGTTGTCACAAGCTAGAAGGCAATCTGTTTTCCCCTCTCTCCTCACCTTATTTAGACTTGTAATTCCAAAACTTTTCCTGATGAGAAACTACCTTGATTTTCCTGAAATTTTATGATCACTAATGGAGAAGGACTGATAAGTCAAAATCACTGGTGGAACGGGAAGTTTAGTTAGCAGCAACATTCAAATTCCTTCCAGTAAGCAGCATGAAGGTAAGCTATGTAAGACCTCAGAGCCTGCTGGTCAGTTTAAGACACATTTACTGAGCACCTGCCACGAGTAAGGAGCTGGTGACGGAGCCCATGGTACTTGGCTGCTGTGCCTCAAAGGAGCAGTGGACAGTTAATTAAGTGGGATATGGCAGGAAGGTCTTGGTTGCAACACATACTCAAAAGTAGTTCACCTCATTACAGCTTAATAATGTAACACTTTGTGCTTCAGATGGTTCCACTTCCTCCTCAGTTCAGACCTGGTGCTGTCAGAAGCAAAGATGTAGTCGATGGATTCATAAGACAGATCCCACATCTGGGACTGGGTTAAATTAAATGTTTCAGCCGCCAGCTGGTACTCTTGAGAAAGGTGTGTTGCAAAAACACCCTTATCATCAGTCTGTCAATATAAGCAAGAAAGTTTCAAAATGAACAAGGAAATGATTTTTTAAAAAACAACTTTTGTTTGGAGTCTATTTTCCTATTTACCATGCTTGTTTTAAGAGTCTTAACAGAGGCCTATAAATGCACCCATGCGTATCTAGAACTAAACAGGCTTGTTTATCCTTTTTAAAAACAAAACAAAACAACAGACCACAGCAGTGGCTGACAATCATGGGTGCATATTAAAATCACCTAGGGAGCTTTTACAACATCTGTGCCCAAGATTCACCCCAGATTAAAGAAAGCAGAATCTCAAGGAATGGGTGCTGGGCATCAGTATTTTTTTATATTCTCCCGGGTACCAGCTAGGACCTTTGCTGGTAAAGCCAAACCAGAGTTGCCTTGACCCTTTGCAGCCTCTCATGCCCAGTCCCCTCTCACTCCCCTACTTGAGCATTACCCTCAGGCATTCAAGGCAGTCAGCTAGGTAGTGAATGTCTGACCTTACACAACTCAGAGACTAAAAAAGAGCAAAATACTTCACAGAAAACACTTACACAGATCACAGAAGGATGGGAAATGCTGTACCAGAATCCAAAATGATGCTGGTCATAAGATGGAACTGTCTGACTTTTGATGTTTGAGGTTAAACAGAGTTCTAGATGAAAGGGGGGAAAAGCCTCTTATTAAAAGCAGATTAGTAGACTCATTCGGTGTTCACCAAGTTGACACAGGAGAAATCTTTTCAAACTATGCTAATTTTCCTTAGTTTATTATTTTATAAAATTGACCTTATGTGTGAAAAGTTGTAGTTCAATTAGTGTAGTTGTGTGGGAAATATGTGCTGCAACTTATGGCAGCAAGTGTACCAGGCAGGGAATTAATATCCTCTTCACAGCCATGTGCTTCCCCCTTTTTTACCAAAATGGAAAGGACAGAGCAATGGTATAGCCAGCCACCATGAAGAAGGCAGAGAATTCTGATGGGGGAGCAGAAGCCATTTCTGAAGGGTTGCTGCACTTCTTCCTGGTCTTACAGTGGAGTCTGAAGTAGGTAAGAAAACGGTAGCATTGCTTGAGAGTTACAGCATTATAAACAGACAAGAGCAGAGCTGGACTTTTTCCACAGCTTCAGAGAAAACCTCTAAATTCCTTTATCAGACAACTATCCACTCACTGCCTGCTGCAAGTAAATCCGTCTTAAGAATGACTTCTATTATTAACAGCTCCTTCCCTGAAATACTGTACTGGGCTCCCTAGCCAGAGTAAAATACTTCACTGACTTGATTGATGCTCATTTGGGTAAGGCAGCCTCAACACAGGGCCACTCAGTCCAAGGGATGGCAAACCCAACCTGCCCCCTCACACTACTGGGAGCAGAGGTGGGCCACCACACCCAGTAAGATCACTATGTAAGGGTTTCCATCTTCTCTACTTCTGTGGATGTTTAAAAATTTCCTTAGTAAAAAGAAAAAATATCTCACTCATTACGAATTGCTGAAAACTCTATAAATAGTTTAAAAAAAACCCACATACCCACACAAGTATTTTTGCAAATTGATAAATTTATAAATTCAGTGAATTGATCATTCATTAAAATGGTTTTCAGTCAACTGCTTCTTTCCCTCTTCAGAAAGGCCTTCCTCGACCATCCAATCATAAGCAGTTTTCTCATCACTATTATATCAGCGTGTTTAATTTTCTTCAAAGAACCTAACACTGATAATTTCTTATGTATTTGTTTGCTCTCTCTTACATATGCTAGATATAAGTTCCTTGAGAAAGAAACCTTGTCTGTTTTTACTGCTCTATTCCCAGAAATGTGAACAGTGACTGGAACAGAGTGGTTACTTCATATTATAGTTAAATATAAACAGCTCCAGGTGTACACATGTAGACAAACAAGTGCATAAAGGGCAAAAGACATATAAAAATATACTTGGAATTTTCCATAATTCTTAATTTTTAAATAAATGTTACACATTTTCATAACACGTTAATTTGGTTAAAGTCACTTCCAAACACTAAATGACCCTTGTTCCTTTAATATAATACTTACTGAGTCCCAGGAACTGGGGAATGTAGCAGTGAACCACACAGACAAGGCCATGCTCTCAAGGAGCTTATATTCTAATGGGAGCTACAACTTTCTGTTACTTAAATGAGGCTCAGAAAGCACCCACACCACGCGTCTTTTAATTTCTAAATGATATTTATATATTTAGAACAGATCTTCTCTACATATGGGTTGCAACCTGGGGGAGGAAGGGAGAGAAGGCTGTCTGGAGGACCCGGAGCCCTAAACCTTACCCAGTGGTATCTGGTGTTGCCTCACAAAGTTCACCAGATCCAGGGATCCTTCCTCAGAGGAGCTGAGAAATGTCCCATGCCCAATTCTGTCAGGAAGCAGATCCAGGAGTACTTGTGTTTCTTGTTTTTGGTTTGGAATCTCAAAAAAAGGAGAGAGAGGGCATCAATAACCTCTTTCAGTGGTTCTTACAAGTACTTTTTCTGTAGCCAGGTACTTTGTCCCTCTGAGAAGGTAATGCAGACATTCTGGGAAGCTAACCTACCTATACCTTCCCAGCTCTCTTTTTCGCCTGTTATCTTTCCATTTATTTCCCAAAAATTTTTTCTTTTTTTTAAATTGAGGTAACATTAGTTTAAAACAGTATATAAATTTCAGGTATACATCATATTTTGATTTCTGTGTAGACTACATCATGTTCATGACCCAAAGACTAATTACCATCTATCACCATTCACATGTGCCCTGTCACCCCTTTCGTCCCCCTCCCTCCCCCTTTCCCCTCTGGTATCCACCAATCTAATCTTGTTGTTGTTATCTTCTATTTAGGAGTGTCCCAATATTTTTCTTGATTCATTTCAATGACAGTAATAATTAGTAGAGTCAATAATAATAATAACATACACTTATTAAGGACTTATTTTGCGCCTTTTCACATAAATTCTCCTTTAAACCTCACAAGAATCTTACCAAGTATTAAGATGAAGAAATTAAAGCTCAAAAAATGTAAGTAATTTTCAAAAACAAAATCCCACAACTCTACATGTACATGTGTGTTCTGTGTTGTGTATATGTGTTCACACATATTAGAAAAAGGTCTGGAAAATATAAACACAAAACTGTTAACAGGATCATCTTGGGAGCAGGACTAGAATGGGAAGAGCTTGTGTTTTTTTTTTCCTTCTACATTATACTTTTCTACACTTGGATTTTCTTCAGATACATATAAGTTTCATAGTTAAAAATATAAAGCATTTTTTAAAAAGTTGTCCAAGTTCATAGAGCTAATAAATGGTAAAGAGTAAAACCTGGCTCCATCTGACTCCAGGGCCCAGACTCTCCCCACACACAGTGTGCTCATGTTTTATTTTAAAAACAAGGCCAGCTACATACATACCACAACCTCTGCAAATATCTGGCTGTGCTCTTCATCTCCTAGATAGCCTAAAAGGTAAATGACTACAACATGTTGAAATGAAATGGTTTTTTCTTTTTTTGAAGAAGAAGATCAGGCCCGAACTAACATCTGCTGCCGATCCTCCTCTTTTTGCTGAGGAAGACTGGCCCTGAGCTAACATCCATGCCCATCTTCCTCCACTTTTTACATGTGGGATGCCTACCACAGCATGGCTTGCCAAGCGGTGCCATGTCTGCACCCGGGATCTGAACCGGTGAACCCTGGGCCACCGAAGCAGAACGTGTGAACTTAACCACTGAGCCACCGGGCCAGCCCCTGAAGTGGGTTTTTTTACTTTTTTTTTCTTGGTGAAGAAGATTGGCCCTGAGCTAACATCTGTGCCCATCTTCCTCTATTTTATATGTGGGACACTGCCACAGCATGGCTTGATGAGCAGTGTGTAGGTCATGCCCAGGATCTGAACCTGTGAACCCCAGGCTGCCAAAGTAGAGTGCACAAACATAACCACTATACCACCAGGCCGGCCCCTGAAACGAAATGTTTTACATACAATGGATCAAACAAGAAAGCAACAGAAACTAAGGTAAACAGCCGGTTCTGATGCTGCGCAAAAGACTGGAGATAACTGGTCACAGTAACACATGCTGGCTCTTCCATCATATTGACCAATAGCTTCAATCAGGCATCAGTTAGGTCAGCTAGAAGGTGTCCTATGAGTGAAAGATCTTTTCCTTTTCCTCCCAAAGCCCCAGTACACAGTTCTATATTGTAGTTGTAAGTCATTCTAGTTTTTTTATGTGGGATGACACCAAGCATGGCTTGATGAGCAGTGTGTAGGTCCGCACCCAGGATACGAACTGGTGAACCCCGGGCCACCAAAGCAGAGCGCACAAACTTAACCACTTGGCCACAGGGGCAGCCCTGAAAGATCTTTTTGATCAGAGTGTGGAAACATGGATCCTAGATTTTAAGTTCTGCCACTAGATGACTGACTCTCTGCTTATAGACATGAAAAACACCAGTATTGACAAGAAGCTCCAATTTTTTCCTTAATCTTTAAATCATGATGCTGCTCAACCTTTATACATTACGCCATCTAATACTCACAATAACCCTGTGAGGTAAGTAGATTAAGTATTATTTCCTACATTCAAGAAACAATAAATCCAAACTCATCAAGTTGTATACATTAATTATATACAGCTTTTTGCATGTCAAAAAAGTAAGAAAAGAAACAATTAAATAGATAGAAGTACTGAGGTAGAAAGTAAATGCACCTGTAAAATGGGGAGAAGTGCAGTAGAGTCCTTGTCTGCCTCACAGGGCCATGCTTAAGAAAGTGACTGTTCTCCAGCCACTATCTGTCCATTATCTGTCACTGTGCTCATGCTGCCAAGGACCTGGGGCCTGATGAGGGGCACCTGACCTCCTGCTGAGCCTTATCAAATGATGATGAGCTCCTTCCTTTCCTGCCAGTGCAGGTGATACTTTCAGCTCCCTTCCCTTACCAAGACAGGTGAGATGAACCGGTGCTTCTCTCAGTGTCAGCATGCTAATGACAGGATGATGATGGAAATTCACGCACTTTCTCTAGCAAGATGTCATTAAGCTGTTTTAATGACACAGCTGTACTGGAAGTCAACAGCCACCTCCAGGAACCATAATAACAGTAACATGAGAGACTAAAGCAAGTCACGCCTTTATCATTATAATTTACAACTTAAAATATTTCTTCTTTCCCCCTCTAAAAAGGGTTATCCAAGCCAGGTTTATTTTTAGCCATTTACAAATGATTATTACTTACCATTAATTTTTTCCATTGTAATCTACCCTCTCCAGCCTAATTTTACAATATTATTTACCTCGGAAAGATGCAATGCCAACTTCAGACCTGCTTTTTTAGCTTCTAAAAGAGGTTCTAAGAAGTCTTTTGCTTGTCCTGCCTTGAAGATAAAAGTTAAAATGAGGATGCATGAGAATTCTGGCAAACTGAAGAACTGGGTACCCTGTCTTAATAAACAAAGGAATAAAATAATGGCAGACTGACTCATTTACACATTTTGTTTATAAAGCACCTACAATGTGCTAGACACATTAGGGAATACAAAGCTGGCAAAGACACAGTCCCTGTCCTCAAGTCAAGCATGAGTGAACATGAGGTCAATCAGCTAACCTAGATATTGCAGCCACCAAATTTTATTTCCGGAAGGGTATCTAGATATCTAGTGCTAAAGAGGAGAACTCACCTGATTCAGGAACCTGCATGATTAATAAAGAAAGCTACTATCAAATGGAGGGATGAAACAAAAGCAGAACAGTCCAGGTTTAAAGCCATGAGAACCAGTTTCATGGGACTGTCTAAGTCAATGGTTTTTAACCAGTTCTGCCCCCCAGGGGACATTTGGCACTGTCTAGAGATATTTCTGATTGTCACAACTAGGAGCATGCTACTGGTATCTAGTGGGCAGAGGCCAAGGATGCTGCTAAACATCCATCAATACAAAGGACATCCTCCCACAACAAAGAATTATTTGGCCCGAAATGTCAATAGTGCCAGTTGAGACACCCTCCTTCAATCGGACATTCAAGAAACTCTAGGCCAGCCTTCTCAACTGGGATATGAGATAATTATGAGATAATTAAGCCCTAGCCTTAATTAAGCATTAAACATGCATTGTATATAATGGATTAACTTCTCTCCTATATATGCAGAATGGTACTAGCTATGCAGCATCTTTAGAAAAATGAAGAAAATTATGCAAATGTTGAGCAAATCTTTTTTTCTTCTTATTTAGGGAGCTTAATTATTTCACAGAACCCTGGTTGAGGACAGTTACTGTAGGTATTCTGGTCATCCAGGACAGAACAGGGCTTTGTCTATCCACACAGAGAGTCTGCTAGACCTCTGCAGAATGGAGGATGCTCCAAGCTAATCCTTATCCCACATAAAATGTTTTTAACTTTTAGAAATAAAATGTATTCAGGAAAAATAACTTACAGTAGGGTCTCCACTGAGGTCAAGGCCAAGAACTGTATCATCAGTAGAAAGGAAGAATTCTTGAGCAAGTTTAACAGTCTCCTTGGCTACTGAAGGGCCACCTCTTCTGTCAATTGCTATCAAATACCTTTAATATAAGGAAAACACAGTTGAAAACAAATATTGTGCAGATGAAAAAGACAACTCTGAGTATGGCCAGAGAGGCATGACAGGCGGCATATAATATACCTTACTAGCAAAATTATAGCCTGACTGACATGACATCTTTTTTTGCCAGAGGGAATGAGACATGAATTCCTAAATACCACCAAATATCTAGTGTTCAAATTTCCGATTGTTTCATATTTTTTTGTTCATGTATTTGTTTTTTACAGTTTGTTTGATTCAGAATCCAACTAAGGTCCATATATTGTGTTGGTCAATGCTTCTCAAGTCTATTTTAACCTGAAGCCACTCCCTTCACCCCCACCCAAAGAAAAGAGACTACCTGTCTCTTTTCTTGAATTTATTTGTTGAAGAAACCAGGTCCTATAAAGTTCCCCATGGTCAGGATTTTGCTGATTGAATCCCTGTATCACTAACACGTCCTCCTCTCTCTTCTGTTTCCTATAAATTGGATCTAGTCTAGAGGCTTAATCGATCAGATTCAATTTTTTTGGCAAGAGAATTTGATAGGCGATGGTGTGTTTTTTCATTAGGAGGCTTAGATCCATTATTTCATTAAGGGTTACAAAATTGGTAATATTCTAACATGTATCCAACAGCTGATACACATTCATTCTTCATATATTAGCTGAAATTCTACAAGGAACCTAATATCCAGAGGACTACTGTTAATATTGTGTAATTTCACCCTGCATTTATTAGTTTATCTATTTAATCACAAAATAAAGAAATTCCTCCAGCTTTTATTTACTTACAAAATTTGGATCAATTATTTATAAAATGAAATGTCTTGTTTTTTTCACTTAGTTTCTCTTGTCATTAAATAATGTTAGAAAACAATATAAATCATATGAACATAACATAATATAGTTGTCCTCTGATTGCTGGACACTTTAGGATGTTTTCCACTTTTTGTTATAAATAACACTACAGTGAAGAATCTTACATGTAAATCAATCTATTTCCTTAGGACACATTTCTAGAAGAGAATTACTGGGTCAGACAGGAAAACTATTTTTATAGATTTTAATACATATTGTTCTCTAGAGAGGTTTTATTAATTATATATGCTCACCAGCAGTGTGTAAGTTCACGAACACTGGTTATTACTCTTTTTTGGGGGGGGGGAGCTATCGAAATGGCATTGTAATAATTCCTTTTAAAATTATCTGATTAGTGAATTTAAATAGTTTTCTATACATTTATTGCCCATTTGTATGTCTTCTGAATTCTCTCCTTGTCTTTCGCCTGGTTTTGTATTGGGGTATTACTCTAGTAAAGTTTAATTCTGAGAGATTTTTATAGCCAGAAACTACACAGCTAGCTTTCTTCCTTCTTCCTGCAAGGAATACTGAGCCTGACTATGTGCCAGCTCTGTTCTAAGTACTGGAGGCGTAGTGGTGAATCAAAAGACAAGGTGCCTGACTGCACTGAATTTACACTCTAGTGGGTGAGTTGTATACACAAATAAAACAAAATAATTTCTGATCTTGTTAAGAGTGCCATTTATTAATGGGGTGACTAGAGCATTTGTTGGGGGGCACTTTAGATAAGGTGGTCAAGGAAGTGATAGCCAAATTGAGACCTGAATAACGAGAAGCCTGCCATGCAAGGATATGGTGGAAGAGTGTTCTAGGCAAAGTAACAGGAATTACAAAAGTGCTGAGGTGGGATAGTCTTGGCCTGTGTGAGGAACAGAGAGCAGGCCAGTGCATAAGTGATGAGTGGTCCAGTGAGGATGTTCAAGTAAGAGAGGCAGCCAGACCACGTGGGACTTTGTGGGCCACAGTAAGAAGTTTAGATTTCAGCTGAAGAGCAATGGGAAGCCACGCCTCACTGGAGCGACAGGACTCAGAATTTTATCGCCCCATGAATAAATTCAGGACTGCACTCTCAACTTTAAAACAGGGTTTTTGACTCTGTTTTTTCTATCGTAAGATAAAAATGAGGGGCTGGCCCCGTGGCCAAGTGGTTAAGTTCGTGCTCTCCGCTTCGGCGGTGGAGGGTTTCACTGGTTCAGATCCTGGGCACGGACATGGCACCACTCGTCAGACCACATTGAGGTGGCATCCCACATGCCACAACTAGAAGGACCCACAACTAAAAATACACAACTATGTGCTGGGGGGATTTAGAGAGAAAAAGCAGGAAAAAAAAAAAAGATTGGCAACAGTTGTTAGCTCAGGTGCCAATCTTTAAATAAATAAATAAATAAATAAAAAAGATAAAAATCATTATTGGTTGATTTATAAAAATCTATTACACTCCTGATCAAAACAGTAAAATTTTCACATTCTAGTTTTTCAAATGGTGACCACTAAGGTACAATGCTTCTTACCTAACGTCAATGTCTAAGTCTTCTTGTTTGCACTGTTTTATACCCTCAAGTATAGATTCCACATAAGTTTTTTCAGTCATTCCTGGAAAGGATACAAAGAAAACACATATAAAGAGATCATCAACTATTTCATCCTTCAATATCAGCATCCCTCTAATTATAATGATATAATTACATTTTCACTTTATGTTGTCACAAGGGTATGGTTAAAGATGAGTTAAAACATGGCTCCTACAGGTATATTTTACTAAATGTTAATTGTAATAAAATTGAAAAAAAAAAGACATACAAAATACAAGCCCTTTTAAAGGCCTTGTAAAATTATTCTTAGATTCAACAGACATAAAACTACTCTCACAAATTGCTATTAAACTTTTAAATATTTGTTCTAACAAAACAATAACAACAACAAACCCCTTTCTAAGGCCTAGCCTTAAAAACAAAACATTTTTCTCTATTAGCAGAATGTCTTCCTGCCAGTCCAGAAAAACAGCCTTCTCCCAGGTTCCTTTCTCCTCAGTCCTGCTCAAGCTCAGCGCTTCTCATCCAAGGTACTTGAGACGTTCTTCCAAGTGCGAGTGCTCAAGCCCTCCTCTTCTGGGGGCTATGAAAGAGCACGCTCCAGAATAACCTCCTCTAAAATACTCTTGTACCCCAACTCTAAAATGCTTACTTTTGGTGGAAAAATCTCTAGTAAAACATATAAAATTATAAAGAAGAAAAATAAAAATAACCTGTAATCATACTACTCAGAGATAACCACTGTTTTTGTTTTTCTAAGCATACATATATCTATTTTTCAATAGATGAGATGCTATTAGGGATATATGTACCCTGTTCAGTCATTTAACACTGTATTCTGAGCACATCCCCATGTCAACAAAGTGTCTTTGCAAATATTTTTATTGGTTGCCTAATATTCCATCAACCTTTATTTAACCATTCTCCTATCGTTGCATACTTAGCTTAACATTCCCCTTTGAATCTCTATTTGAAGAGCAACCTAGTTTGTAACAACTGGCAGGTTTCTTCCCTCCTTCCCTTTCACTACCCTCACCAGCATAACTTGGAACTGATTCTGCAGTTTAAAAATGAGAGATAAGAATCTTCTGCTTGTCCCGTTGCAACACTTACTTTACTATATGTAGTTTCAAATATTTTACCCCCTGAATGATGACTGGGCTACACATGGCAGGGCACAAGATGACCTGGAAGGGTCTCTTCAGGTCATAGACAAGGTGCTAAGAGGGATCCAATGACACTATATAATATCTCCTGATGCTGCTCGTATGGAAAGAGAGTTCCAGGAAATTTCTCCAGACCACATCCAGATCTGCTCATCTCCATGTGGAGAAGTTTTACCACATCACAGCTTGCTCCTGGCCTAAGATACTGTCAGTCCCTGAGAAGTGACTGAATAACCTTCATTTCAGGGATTGTCATAAAACATGATTCTGCTTCTACTCAGTGGCATTTCTCACAAGTGCCCTTGATGCAGGGAGCAAGAGTTAGCTTCTATTTAAGACAATGCAACTATAAGGAGCAAGTGTCCTTTCCTCAGAGTAAGTAAGAAGAACAAATGAAATTTTTTCAGGCCTTTTTATTTCCCTTAAACAGAGATTATCTGATCTGATTTTTTAACTTAAGACTAACTCACTCATTAATAATGTACACCATTAATGTACATAAGAAGACTTGGACTGTTGAGTCTAATTCTCCAACAGTGTAAAAGTGCGTGCTTCATATTCTCAACTTGTAAACACATGAATGACCAAAGCACATGGGAAAAGAGATAGTACATTTGCAGAGAAGTAATTAAATTCTACCTGTAGCGTTTTCTCTTCTAGGTGTGCTCCTTAGTTCCAAGTACTTGACACCATCATCTGCAAATTCTTTAATCACATCTTTTGTGACCTGATAATAAAGGCAATGTACACAATATTATAATGTTAGTGTAAGCATCCCAGTGAGAATGCCAAATGCTACAGCTTTATTTCACACATTAAATTTGATATGCAAGGAATGCTGGAAGTCTCTCACATGGTTAAGATCATCTGGTTTGTCATGGTGGAGACTGTGACAGAAATAGAACATTTCCAACTGCCATCAACACCCCCTCATTCTCACATTCAGTTTAAATCTGCACATCAAATCACCCACACCTTTTGTTTCTCTTCTCTCCTTTTAACCATTTTAACCGTTTCTCTATTTCCTAGTGTTCCTAACAGCAGATTGATAAAACAGAGAAATGAGGTAAAACTAAAACCAGTTAAAACCATCTGTGAGTGTGTAGTACTAGAAAGGTACTTACGGAAATAAATAGCTAAAATGATTAGGTATTACTGATGTAACATTTAAAGTCATGGCTTAAAGTTCTTACTCAAGCTATTTAGGAATAAGTTGTATTTTTCAAGAATTTCTTCAGGCAGGGTTAAATTTTCCTCAGAAGTACTCAGGGAAATTTCTCTTAGGCAAAGGAAATGGGTGATAAATATGACCAAAGTTATATCCAATTTAGCGAAAATCTCAACAATACAAAAGTTACTAAGTTACCAGGGTAGATATCTAAAGGCTGAAGGCATGTTTTCCTTCTCTGCCATCAATCCTAAAAAATACCAAATCGAGAAGAAAAAAGGACCAGGTTGGAAACGCTGTGACAACCAGCCCTAGTTAGTCCTTACAGTTGGTATCCTAATCTTAACCTGCTTTGACTACATGCACATGGGCACGCGAGTGCAGTGTCCTGGGAAAGGAACAAGGATTGGCTGGTTGTGCAGACAGTGCCTAATGGGGTGGCACCACCTTGGTGGATGCATTGCAATCCAAGGTGTGCGCTTCATCTTTTTCCCTTTGTTTTAAAACTAAAGCCAAAAAGGAAATTCCTTTTTGGAAGAAAGTCTAGAGAATCAGCCTCAGAGACTACACAGCTCAGGGCAACACAACAGCATTCAGAATCAGGTGACACCCCTGGACCAAGCAAGATGCCACTGCTTCCTCCAGCACTGAGCATGACCCTGCAGCCTCTCCACCATCATGGCAGGCGCTGGACCCTGTGGCACCACTGCTCCAGCAACTCCATGTTGCTGCCACTGCCACTAGAGTGTGGGCCTCGTCTTTGCAGGTTGAGGAATTTGCATCTTGTCATTACTCCAGAACTGAGCAGACCCAGAGAGGCCAACTCACTCTACCCCCGCTCACATGAGACACACAGAAACCTATTTGTTCACGGATGCATTGACAATGAGGGTGGAAGTGAGGGAGTGAAGTGGTAGTCCTTCTCAGTGACTGAAGTGATCATATCTACTATCCAGGGCACCCCCTTTCCTGGTGGTAAGGTACCTGTGAAACCAAATAGAACAAGAGAAGGTTGATGGCAAGTATAGAATGAGAGCAATGGGAGGAAGATTTATCTAGGCCACGGTGAGGCCCGTGGAATCCTCCCTACCCCATGTCCAAGAACACTTCCATATCTGCAGATTCAGCCCTTTCTGCTCCATGCAGCAACAGGTACTGAGGGCAACTCTGTACTCTTCGGGCTTTCCTTTCCTATGCCCTGGACTGAGAACATGTACTCAAGTTCCTTCTTCAGACAGAGTACATCACAGTTAGTTAAGTTTCTGCTTACTCAAAGGATGGCAAGACTGCATATCTTGAATGAGAAAGAACACGGGTTCTGGAACCAGAGATAGTCAATTCTGCCACTTAGTCTCTGTGAGTGACCTTGAACTCAAGTTACACCTAACCTCTTTAAGCCTTAGTTTTTTTCAGCAGCAAAAAGGAAACAATAAAAATACGCACCTCAGAAAGCAGACTTGAGTGTAGTGTTTGGCACATGCCACAGTTAATATTATTTCAGTCACACTGCAATCCTCTCTCTTTGAGATTACACCCAGGTCACCCTGACTAGACTGTTAAGTGATCCCCACATACTCAGTCCCACCTCTGCAAACAATCTCTTGGCTTACTCCCACACATGGTTCATTTATTATACGTAACCATTAGAAAAAATGCGAAGCAAGCAGTATAACCTACGTTTCTGGAGAACTCACTTTTGATTGGTCAAGAAAGAATTTTCCTCCTTAGCTGAGACTGATTCTCGTGATAAGTATTAAGTAAATTAATCACCTTTTGGAGGAAAGTTAACTCTGACAAGATTTTGCTTCTCTCCTTTTATAAAGAGGACATTTTAAAATGCCATCCTGGTCAGATCAATGATACAGAAGCCAGTCTTCCATATCAGACTCTGGTATCACAGAACTTCAGATAAGAGAACACACTAGTGTCCTTTAGTTCTTCAACCCCAGAGGGAAGGCACAATTTCCCTGGGCATTAATCATTCAATCTCTAAGCACTTCTTCAACTTCTTCATTCTCTACAATGTCCACCCAGGTAGTTAAAAGTATTGCAAACAATACAGACAAAGTCTTATCAAAGACATGCCCATCTGTGGTCAAATACTTCATATGATATGTTACACATCGAAAACAGGACAAGATTTTCTCCTTCATATTGTTCTCTATCTAATGTCAAGATGTCAATCTTGGTTCTGTCCTCATATCTTTTACAATGAACACAGTCTCTTGATATTGGCTCTTAGGCAAATGTCTTACACTGGTTTTGAACAGAGGTGCCATAAAAAACAGAAAACATTTTCTATCAGACTCTTGATGAAAGCAAAAGGTCATGTGCTACAACAGAACGGCATAAATTACTTAATTTTTTTAATAGTTTTTTCTAAGCATACTTGCTTCCATGTCTCCATTTCTTTCTTTTTTTTTTTTTTTAAAGATTGGCACCTGAGCTAACATCTGTTGCCAATCTTTTTTTTTTTTCTCTTCTTCTCCCTAAAGCCCCCCAGTACATAGTTGTATATTCTAGCTGTAGGTCCTTCTGGTTGTGCTATGTGGGATGTCGCCTCAGCACAGCCTGACGAGTGGTGCGATGTCCGCGCCCAGGATCTGAACCAGCGAAACCCTGGGCCACCAAAACGGAGCACAGAAACTTAACCACTTGTCCACAGGGCAGGCCCCACTTAATAGTTTTTAAACCAGTCTAAAAATTGCTTCATTTCTTACCATTAGAATATCTTCAGGGCTGGTTGTAAACTGATGAATAATCTGAAACATCTGGAAACACCTGCAACGTGAAAAGTTTTAATATAGTCTAGTCATCAAAAACTTGTCACTCAAGACAAACTCTCTAAGCTCAATTAATAGAATTTAGGCTGATAGCAAGTATATATTTATAAAGAACTACAGAATAGGTTTTTCAAAAATTACATTGATCAGGAAGGATAATCAAATGATTGAAAATAAAACATAACTGATATTTTTAACTGGGAAATAATAGTTCCCCTCTCCACCCCCGACCCCTGCTGGTAGCAGCCAACAGGGGGAGAAAATCGATAAGCCTATGTTTTCAAGTTTAAAGAATATTCCAATATAGTATAACTTTACAAACAACATAAATCACTAAAAATACTGTCGACAGTCTGACAGTTGAAAAAAAAGCTGTATGTCAAGTTATACTTTCCATACCAGATGGCTACCGTACTCCTTTAACTGCTAAAATCTAAATTCTTAATACTATGTACAATCACAAAATAGTGATAGAGAAAAAAAGAAGTATGTCCACAACCTCCCAAAACTTACTCTTCCAAAGTTCTTTTCTTTCCCTTGTCAATCACAGTCATCTGATCGTGGATTTTAAGACCTGGCTTCTTGGCTATTAACTTCTTCATGGTATTAGAACTAATGGATCCATTTAAGTGGGCATGAAGTTCCTACAACAAGAATATAATCAGTAAAAACTTCTCAAGTATCCACTAGATTCATAGCATCACACCAGGTACTTGATGTTTGTAGTCTGTACTACTAGGCAAATTGCCTACTCGATGTAGCTATATAACTTTTAAAGTTTACAAAGTTTACAAATTCTACCTATAAAATTTACTTTTCTTTTGTGAAAAGAAACAACCCAGAAGTTATTATAAAGCAACCGCTCCAGAATTCCATGGTTGAATTCTTACCACTTTAGGTAATTCTGAGTAAAAGGCTGTCTTCCATGGCTGCTGTTCTTCCGCTTCTGTCATGATTCAGCAGAACAAAATGGTCTTCTCCAAACACTCTTATTCTTGGTATGGACAAGACAATGTACTTCACTGAGTAAATATTATGGTCTTGAATTTCCTTCAGATTGCTTTACGTCCACACATTTTTATAGATTAGCTGCATATGCAGCTCTAGGCTCAGCTTCACCTGTTTAAACAAACGTGACCATTTTCAGATGTTGACATAAAAGCAAAGAAACAGGATTTTGCTAATATATTTCTCAAAAGACAAAAGCGCCCCTCCAAAGCTAACTTAAATGAGCTAACAATCTGAACTAGAAATAAGAAAAGGCCTCAAGTTGGTAAGAGGTGGATTAAAATCTGAAATTTCACAGGGTATATTCCTTACCAATTAGCCCTTTCTATAAAAATACTTCTAAAACTAGAAATTTATAAGTCCTATTTTGGGTAGAAAGTTTACATTTTTGAACTGTTTAAAATATATAAAGGAAGAGCAGAGGCATCGGAGTCAGATGGACCTAGGTGAATCTGTACTGGTTCTGCCACTCAGTAGTTGTGTGGCCTTAGTCACTTAACCTCACAGCTTCAGTTTCCTTATTTGAAAAAATGGAATAAAAATGCAGAGTAGCTGTAAGGATTAATAAAGTAATTTAAATTCCCCTCTTCTATGTTCCCATATAATCCAGTGACTACCTTTAACCAGCACTCTATCACACTGTATCTATCACTGATTTACTTGTCTTTCCCCTTCACCAGACTATCAGCTTCCTAAGGACAAGGACTATGGCATATTCTACGTCCTTAGCGCCTAGCACAGCAACTAGCACATTGGAGGTGATAAATAAATTCTAAGTTCCCTTTACCTCTGAAGGTGGCTTACAAATAAAGATAAAATTCCAAATGAAATTTAGTGATTTTCAAGGTAGCCACCTTGACCTCCTGGGTTCTCACGTATTAATGCTGACGACGATGTTGAAAAGAATAGCAATTTCCATTCAGAGTCTATCAGGTATGAGGCAAGCACTTTTAAAAATATTATCTTTAATTCTCCTAATAATCTTGCAAAGTAAATACTTTTACCACATTACAAACCAATAAATTGATACTGAGAGGGGTTAAATAAGTCACCAAGATATTAAAATGGGAAATAAAAAAAATAGTTTGTACAAGACTAGACAAAGCCATAGAAACCCACAGAAAGACCAACCCAGTATTAAGGTGGCATTTCAATGGAATGCCATAGTAACTGCTTAATAAATAGTAAGAAACAAAAAAGATGGACTATGTAATCAATGATATTTAATACTTCTACTGAAGAACATAAAAGATGTCATTAAAATGGAAAAACATACCTTATCTTGCATAGGTAAAGTCAATTTGCCATAAATTGACTTATGAAGTAAATGTTAATCAAAATATTCCAAAAATTATTCTATAGAAATTGATTTTAAAGTTCATATGGAAGATTTAACTTGTAAAAATATCCAGAAAAAACTGTGAACCTCAAAAGAATAATACCCAATATTAGTAAAGGTGTGGGTAAAAGTTCTGGTGGGAGCAGAACTTGGTATAGTCTTTTTGGAAAGCAATTTGACAATATCTATCAATACTGGAAAAAAAAAACCCATATATTTTTTGACCCAATAATTCTACTTTTAGGAATTCATCCTATTATTTTATAGGATATGTAGAAATAGATTTCTTGTAGCATTACTTATAATAGCAAAAAACAGGAAACAACCCAAATGTCCATCAGCAGGGTAAGGGTTAAATTAATTACATCTCCATCCAACTGAATATCTATGACTATATGGAAAGACCTCTATGATATAGTGTTTCTTCCAAAACATAAGTTGCAAAATAGACTGTTTAGAAAGATGACACTTATGAACAAAGCATATATGTACGTACACACACACCTATTTATTTACATCTTTATGCCTAAAACACATATGAAAGGATACATAGAAAATCGTTGCCACTAGAAAGTGGGTTGGAAATGGCAAAGGTCAAGGAAGAGAATTTTACATTTCCCTTATATAGTTTTCTGCAATTTGAAGATTTTACAGTAAGTATGCAATATTTGATAGCTTTTTGAAATAATTTTAATAAATGAAATTTTTAAGTAATTAATAAACATACCACAACTTACAGAATGCAGTAAAGCAACTCTAAGAGGAAAGTTTGTAGCAATAAACATCCACATTAAGAAGAAAGATTCCAAACAAACAACCTAGCCCTACATCTTAAGGAACTAGAAAAAGAGCCAACTTAGCCCAAAGTTAGCAGAAGGAAGGAAATAAAAAAGACTAGAGCAGAAATAAATGAATATAGAACAGAAAAACAATAGAAAAGATTAACCAAATTAAGATTTGGTTCTTTGAAAAGAGAAACAAAACTGACAAACTTTTTTTTTTTCTGTGAGGAAGATTGGCTCCAAGCTAACACCTATTGCCAATCTTCCTAATTTTGTTTGAGGAAGACTGTCCCTGAGCTAACATCCATGCCAATCTTCCTCTATTTTGTACGTGGGACACTGCCACAGCATGGCTTGATGAGCAGTGTGTAGGTCCACACCCAGGATCTGAACCTGTGAATCCCAGGCTGCTGTAGCGGACCACATGAACTTAACCACTACCCCACCAGGCTGGCCCCAAATTGACAAACTTTTAGCTACACTAACCAAGGAAAAAAGAGAGAGACTCAAATCATCAAAATTATAAATGAAAGAGGAGGGGCCGGCCCCATGGCTGAGTGGTTGGGTTTGCACGCTCTGCTTTGGCAGCCCAGGGTTTCGCCAGTTCAGATCCTGGGTGCAGACATCACACGGCTCATCAAGCCATACTGAGGTGGCGTCCCACATGCCACAACTAGAAGGACCCACAACTAAAAATACACAACTATGTAACCGGGGGCTTTAGAGAGAAAAAGGAAAAACAATCTTTAAAAAAAAAAGAAAGAGGAGACATTACAACTGATAACACAGGAATACAAAGGATCATAATAGGGGCCAGCCATGTGACTGAGTAGTTAAGTTTGTGGGCTCCACTTTGGTGGTCCAGGGTTTTGCCAGTTCGGGTCCTGGGTTCAGACCTAGCACCACTCATCAGGCCCATCCTGAGGCAGCGTCCCACATAGCACAACCAGAAGGACCTACAGCTAGAATATACAACTATGTACAAGGGGGGGCTTTGGGGAAAAGGAAAAAAAAACAAAATTGGCAACAGATGTTAGCTCAGGGCCAATCTTTAAAAAAAAAAAAAAGGATCATAGGAGGCTACTATGAACAAATATACACCAAAAAACTGGAAAACCTAGAAGAAATGAAAAAATTCTTAGAAACACACAACCTATGAAGACTAAATCAGGAAGAAATAGAAAACCTGAACAGACCAATACTAGTAAGGAGATTGAATCAGTAATCAAAAATTTCCCAATGAAGAAAAGCCCAGGACCAGAGGGCCTCACTGGTGAATTTTACCAAACATTTAAAATTAACATCAATCATTCTCAAACTTGCAAAAATTGAAGAGGAGGGAACATTCTCAAACTCATTTTACAAGGTCAGCATGATCCTGATGCCAAAGCCAGATAAGGACACCACTGGAAAAGAAAACTACAGGTCTTGGGCCAGCCTGGTGGTGCAGCAGTTAAGTTCGCACATTCCGCTTCTCAGCGGCCCGGGGTTCGCTGGTTCAGATCCCGGGTGCAGATATGGAACCGCTTGGCACACCATGCTGTGGTAGGCATCCCACATATAAAGTAGAGGAAGATGGGCACAGATGTTAGCTCAGGGCCAGCCTTCCTCAGGAAAAAGAGGATGATTAGCAGCAGATGACAGCTCAGGGCTAATCTTCCTCAAAAAAAAAGAAAAGAAAAGAAAAGAAATCTACAGGCCAATATCCTTGAAGAACAGACATGCAAAAATTCTCAACAAAATACTAGTAAACTGAATTTAGCAGCACATTAAAAGGATCATTCACCATGATCAAGTGGGATTTATTCCTGGGAAGCAAGGATGGCTCAACATGCAAATCAATCAAGGTGATACATCACATTAATTGAATAAAGAAAAGAATCATATGATTATCTCAATAGATGCAGAAAAAGCATTTCACAAAATTCAACATCTTTCAAGATAAAAATACTTAAGAAGTTAGGCATAGAAGGAACATATCTCAACATAATAAAGGCATATATGACAAGCCCACAACTAACATCACACTCAATGGTGAAAGTTGAAAGTTTTTCCTCTAAGATCAAGAACAAGACAAGGGTGTCCACTCTCACCACTCCTATTCAACATAGTACTGGGAAGTCCCAGCTAGAGCAATCAGGCAAGAGAAAGAAATAAAAGGCATTAGAATTGGAATGGAAGAAGTAAAAGTCTATTTGCAGATGACATGATTTTATATATAGAAAATCCTACAGACTCACTCAAAAAGCTGTTAGAACTAATCAATGCAATTCAGTAAAATTGCCAGAATACGAAATTAACATGCAAAAATCAGTAGCATTTCTATATATTAACAACAAATTTTCTGAAAAAGAAATAAAGAAATTGATTCCATTTACAATAACATCACAAACAAAATATTTAGGAATAAATTTAACCAAGGAGCTGAAAGATCTCTACTCTGAAAACTACAAGACATTGATGAAAGAAATCGAAGAGGACACAAATAAATGGAAAAATATACTGTGTTCATGGGCTGGAAGAATTAATATTGTTAATATCTCAATACTACCAAAAGCCATCTACAGATTCAATGTAATCCCTGTTAAGATTTCAATGGCTTTTTTTTTTTTACAGAAATAGAAAAAACACTCCTAAAATTTATACAGACCTACAAAAGACTCTGAGTAGCCAAAGAAACTCTGAGAAAGAAGAACAAAGCAGGAGGCATCACACTTCCTGATTTCAAGCTATACCATAAAGCTACAGTAATTAAAACAGTATGGTACTGGCATAAAAACACACAAATAGACCAATGGAACAGAACTGAGAGCCTAGAAATAAACTCAAGAATATAGTCAACTAATATTTGACAAGGAAGCCAAGAATGCTTGATGGAGAAAAGATAGTCTCTTCAATAAATGGTGCTGGGAAAATTGGATCTTTACATGTAAAAGGATGAAACTTGATCCCTATCTTACACCACTCCCCAAAACTTACTCAAAACGGAT